GTACGAACAAAAGGCGGTTAATCTAGTAATGCATAAATCACGTAAACTAGACCAAACAAACTTAAATTACGATACGATAGAGAATTACCGGGTAAACCTCAACCGGAGATGCTGGCCTCAAGTTCGCAATGTTAAGAATCTCGGCCTTAGCCAAGTCAAACCTTTTGCAATCATCAAAAAATCCATTAATGATATCCCTTGTTTGGTTGCAGGCGGTACCCTGCTCCAAATAATCAAAAACCTGTGTCGAAAATGGAAAATGAGAATCTTTACAAATTCACCTTATTCTAAATCCGCCAAAGAAAACGTAGAATTTTCTGCCCACAAACCTTGTATTCCGATGGTGCAATGGATGCAACAACACGAGAGAAATCTGTACCAGCCCCTCTTGACCTCAATAGATCAAGCACCTCAAAATTCGTAAGAGCACCAACCCTAGCTTCAAGTCTGCAATTAATGAAACGAACTATAAAAATCTAAACTGTCTACACTCTGAAGGCGAGAATCTCAAATTACATACTATGGATTTACATACATCTTCATTTATGGGATGCTGAGGAATGGATTCTAAAGTAACAATGCCTGTACGAGAAAAAGAAAACAATGTCTGGTTAAGCATTATGAAAATCCTCATAAACAATTTTGAGAAACACTGGTCCAGAGCTTTTGTGCATCTTAAAAATGTATTTGATAAGGGGAAAATATACTTTTATTAGGCGACACCTCGGTAAAATAAAGACGTGTGTTCCAAGGACCGTCAGTGTCCAAGGTTGTAACATCCCGTTATTTTAAAATAGAAATCCATACTTTCTCAAAAATCAGAGTTAAGTTTTTAAAAACATTTATCAACTTAATTAATTTTATTTATTTATTTATTATTATTTTTTTAACGGGCATTACTCATTTCAAACTCAATTTATAACTTAAGTGTCATCACAAGTCACTAGATATAAACCACCCCAGAACAACACTTAACATCATATTAAACGAGACAGGTATAGCATTCTCATAATAATTCCCAAAACTACATCAATATCAATATCATCAATTCCAAGTCATAATTCAAAACAACTTTTCAATTCAGTTTCATATTCAACATGCTTATAAGTCTGATGAAAAGATAACAAATAGCGGAAACATTATTAATAACAAGCGGAAGCATAAACAATTCATAAGTAACAAGCAAGTATACCCCGTTCGCCCGTCTTTCGCCGCTACCACCAGCTCAACCTGAAAGGGGAAAAATAGTGGGGGTGAGCAAACCAAATAGCTCATCGCAGTGATTAAAATAGCGCGCGGCGAGCCGAGGCGACAAGGCTCCTATTTGCCATGGCGTGAGGCGTGCGGCGAGGCGCCCGCCTTATGAAAGCGAGGCGAGCCATTGTACAAAAAATAAAAATATATGTATGTGTGATATTTTACAAAATTATGACACAATTATGTATAAAAATAAATTATAATAACTAATAATCATGCAACAAGACACCACACATTAAACTAAAATAAAAAAAACATTAAATAAAATAAAATAAAATAAAAATAACATTAAACAAATCAGAAATAGAGATAAAATCAACCCACATGGTCCCAATTAAAATAACCATGAACCCATCCCACAATTCCACATTATGCCTAATTCTCAATTTCAATAATAATATAATACTCCACATTAGAAAACAAGTTAGTGCTCCACATTCATAAATAAACAACATAAATAATAATAATAATAATAGTAATAATAGTAATAATAATAATAATAATAA